ATATATATGAATATATATATATATATATATATATATATATATATATATATATATTAGACCAGTATAGTTTCTGTATCTAACCGAGTAGAAACGGTTGTTGCTTTTTTGTCTAAACTGACTTGAACAAAATGAAACAATTTGGATGACGAGCAGCACAAGATGAATCATAAGGATTTCCTGTTTTGTGACTCCGATCAAAGGCTCTCCATCCGCGGGGTTTTATTCGTTTGTTGACATTCTGCGGAAAGGCGTTTCCAGAGGTTCAAACCGCTGTCTTTCGCTGAAAAGTTTCTATTTTTCTCGTATCTGAAGATAATGAATGACTATAGGTGAGGCATGAGGGCGCTTTGGAGGAGCTGTGTGTTGTGCGTGGGCTTGTTGGTCACACTTTGCTTTCTTTGCGTGTGTTTTGAAGGAAATGTTTGGAAATTTAAGGGTAAGTAAATGTTCTGTTTGTCTGAACTGTAGTTTCAATTATTTTTTGTTGAAATTTTGTAATGGGCTTATAAGTGTTTTATTGCACTGTTCAGTGCTGGCGGAATGTTATGTATTCGTGTCCTATCTTTTGGGAGAATACATGATTATAAAGGGTCTATCATGGTAAGTAGAATTATTAGCATCCAAGTTCCAGACTCCGGTATTGTTACCGTTTACATATATATACTGCATGAAAGAAACAGTGCTTGGTAAGGTTAAGGTTTACGATAGGACCCACCTCGCCAATATGGTACAGGCAAATTTCCAGCCAGCCGCTGATCCGAAAACGGGCAAAATATGGCCAATATTATATATGTCCTCTTCCCATTTCTCCCGTGAGCTCGTCCGTTACAAAATATCGTTTAGCCGGTTCGCGATACACAGTAGAAAATTACGATACATTCTTTTTGCCTGGCCACATCAATCGGCTTCCAATAATGGATCTTTCAACCGCACAGACCTTGACCATCTTGAACACCGGCAAGTTGCCTTTGCTTTCCTGGTGGAAGGCAAAGGTACCCACAATATTCGAGTTATGATTGGTCATAGAAACATGACATCATTTTCTGAACTGTGATTGGCTAGGAGTTTGATTTTTGTGGTCTTCTTCTGTTTGCCAATACGGCAGTTTGGTGATAAATAGTTGTTAAGCAACAGTTACGGCTTGTAGGCATTTCATTCATGGAAGATATACGTCATTTCCGTTAACTTATATACGATATACCAAGGTCTATAATAGTAATTAACCAGACCTTACGATATGCAGTACGTACCCTGTGTGTTGCGCTCATTAATTACGCCATGATTTTAGGCAGATAGTATTCTTATTATAAATGTTAAATTATTGATGTAGTAACACTTATCAAGAAAAAAAAATTAATGTCGCACCTGAAAAGAAATTTAAAATAAAACCGATACATAATACTTAATTTGTCAATTCCTACCTATGTTGGAGTCGCTCGTATCAGAGCTGTCCGCCTGAGGCGCGTCTGGGGCAGGGCTTAAATCTCGCTTTTTCTCACCCTGTGGCGGATACAGCTTGGCAGCTTCGTAGAATAAATGATGGAGGGCAGCCTTTTCATATTATCTGATGAACATCTACCGAGAAAAAATATCGAGAGATATACTCCGTTCTCATTCCAGGACTCTTTATCCATTCTTTTACGTCTCTCCAGAGGCGCTCAATTTTCTGAGTGTGCACGGACGCGTCTTGTGGATCAACAAAGTGTTCTAAATGATTTATTATTTTGTGTACATATCCATGTTCTTTTAATGTGCGGTAGGCTGCATACTGCCTTTAATTACGATTTTTTCAATGAAGGGAATATGCGTTTCCGCACTCCTGTCTTCGTTGTCGAGGGGCACAGTAAAATGACGTTTTGTCGCTCTTTCCATTTCCCCGAACACACTTGGTTCAACAGCCTCCCGCGATTGTATTTACGCCGTACTATGTGTGTCCCGTCAATTTCTACTATTACGCCGGCACCTCCTATTGGCTTCTGATTTTCAAGCCAATTTTCTGTTACCTCGGAGCAGAAGCTTCTCCAGTCCACACTCGTAGCACTTGATATATTTAAACATGTAATAAGAATTTTGTGATTCCAAAATGTTTGAAGCCAGTGATTTACGAAATTCACAATTTTGGATGGAGGTAAATGGGTCCCTTGAAGGAAGGTGCCGGCGTAATCGCCTGCGACGCTTCATTTAAGCGATTTTTTCCCAGCGGCCGCAATACCAGAAGTGTTGGCTCTCGCGATATCTGCACGGTGAATGACAGTGCGGGCACTCTGCTACAGATGGTAGTACATAGTGCATTCTTTAAAATAACAAAGGTTTTTCGTCCTCCTTATGGAATTCCATGATAAAGGCTAAGTAGTTCCAACTACACCCCTCACACTTCTCCATGTTTACACTGATTTTTCGCTATACACTTACCCGCGAAGTAACATGTGGAATTTAGTGTCGAAAAAGTAATGTCTCGACACTTGTAGCTTTTGCACAAAACCGACGCTGGAGGGGGGGGGAGGGTTACAAAGGGTCCAAGTACTTTTCATTAAAGAAACTATGTACATTGTGGAGTGACTGTGCTGTGCAGGCCTGTGTCAAGACTGTAAAATGAGTTTTTCACTCTGTCAGGGATATCTTAACGACAATGATGGGTGACGCATTACAGTTAAGGTTTATTTATTAAAATGTATATACGGGTTCTGGTCTACACATGTCATCATTTTCGGCCATTTCAACATCTCTGACCGGTGTATCCAGAGGTATCAGCGCGCGTTATTCACGTAATTCGTTATTCTCTCTCTCTCTCTCTCTCTCTCTCTCTCCTCTCTCCTCTCTCCTCTCTCCTCTCTCCTCTCTCTCCTCTCTCTCTCTCCTCCCTCCCTCTCCTCCCTCCTCCCCCTCCCCCTCCCCCACAAATACCAGAAAATATTCAGCACGCAGTGTTAATTTAACAACCTACCTGACAGCTATCACGAACATTTAAGTATCCGGTCAATTGTTTACTGTGGCTTCCATTTTCTGTATTAAGACTAGTCTCTGTTACGGTTATTGGTCGATGCTTAAACTTCCCCATAAAATGCACTATGTTAACTGCTCGTTAAGAAAAATAATGTAAATATATGATCACAAGTACCGGAAGATTACTTCACAGACTTTGATTTTCACCAAATGGCGGAACTTTGCTCATATGGACAGTAGTGAAAATTACCTGTTGCGCACATGGTGTTCAAAAGGAATTCCATCGCTGCGATCGTGCATATGAGAAACAAAAGTGTCCCGCACATGTGGCATTACCTTTTAACTTAAAAATCCCGCGCGACACATTTACCCCTGCTGGCTGTCGATTAGGAAATAACGATCATTTGCGCACTTATTTGTTTACAATTACTGATGTCGAGTGGCGATTTTTAAAATATTGACTTTTGAGGTATTCGAGTTTCACTCTCACATACTTCATAACTTTGTTATCAAGTTGCGGAGGTAAGACCATAGAAGAAAAGTTTCTTATTTTCGTTCATTACGTCCAACAAATGTAAAAATTTTCCTTCTAAACGAAGGTTGTGTGGAACTAAAAGTATTCCCTACATGCATTGCTATTAAAATTAATATGCAGAAATAAACCTATTCGAGTTAAACGACGAGTATGTGGCGCACAGAATGCCGCGCGGAAACCAAGTCCCCATGCTCCTCCAGCGACGGTCCAGCTCTCTCCTCGCATAGGTCGAACCACTTCGCTACGCGGGAACCCAACATTAACTGTTTTGACGCATGTAGCTCCTGACGTCACGGCAAATTTCTTATACATCCACTGTAGTCAAATGTATTATTGTATTCTAATTCATATGAAATTTTAATGAAGAACGCATTTATCACATTTTATTCCTTACATACATGATTTGATCAATTTTACCATATAGGTTTCATAGTTTCATTAGAAATACCCGGTGCATACATTCTTGCGCATTGCTGCCCTCTCCCGGCAAATTTGACAGTTCTGTTGTCACAGTTTGTTGTTTGTTCCACAGGTGAAGGTTGTTGACAGTGCTAATTGTGTTTCCGATTTTTTCCAACCTTGCGGTGAAATCGATCTCTCACTGAAATCGTTACAATATCGGGGATAACACTAAACTCAGTGAAATACAGTAACCGTGTTCCAGTTGTAGAATTTCGTCAGCGGTTCGTCACTTCCCAACCACCGTCCCCTCAACTTTAAGGTAAACTCATTTTGTATTTCTAAATGTAGTCAGTGGCGATCTCAAGGCACCGGTAGGGGAGTTAGACAATCGGGAGGGGTCCAAGGGCGAAGCCCCTGATAGGGAAATACGGTAGTCGGGAAGGGGTCCTGGGGCGTAGCCCCCGGGATTTTTTGGTTTATACGGCGATCCTACTAGTATCGTTCGTGCGTTGAAGATGCGGTTCACTTGCTCGTTCGTTCGCGCAACACCGTGTCGAATCATCCGAGGCCGAATCTTCTGTCGGGATTTTACATTTTCCTTTTGTCATCTGTAATACTAATTTTGGTTCGGATTTTCAGTTTCCCACATTGTTTTGTCTTTTTAAATTAAAATGCGTGGTATGAACGAAATCACCCCCAAACCTCCGATTTCCCTCGGGATCCCCCAACATTGTTGACGGGAGTCGGGGATGCAGCCGGATGCGGTCGTATCGTAAACATTTACCTGTGGTATCAGTAAGTAACTAGGTATTTGGAGATATTCACTCAAGATATAACATGCTGACTTATACTGTTTTTGTTTGTTTGTTTTTGTTTTTACAGGGTTTATCAATCCTACTACATGTAAGTGCAACAATTCAGCTGCAAAATTAAACCCAAGAGGATATTCTGGAGTAATTTCATCACAAGATGTTTTTTTGATGACCACCACCGTTGTAACCTGGTTTGGAAAATGTTGTTTTTCACGGACACGCCATACTGAGCAAACACTATGTTGTTGGTAATTTTCTATATTACATCTGCATAACTGATATCGACGATTTTGGTATCGTTGGATTCCTCTCACTGTCCACATTGCAAATATATAGTTTTTATTGCGCGGAAACCCCCCGTTACCGACAAATTGGCCCCGACAGCAGGGGAGGGCATGGAAGGTTCCAGGGAAAATGGGGTTAAATAGCACTAATAATATAACGCACATTGAAAATAACCATGGTTATTCACATAACTCTCCATTGCAGGGGGCTGTGCCCCCTGCGACCCCCCTGGGGGATGCGCCCCCCAACCCCCGCCTAGGAAACAAAACCTCCACAGCATTACACAGTTATCGGCGATCTCGGAGCGGCGGACGTATTACATTTACCTTGTAACATTCCCACTGAATCAGCATACTAACCTTGACATAGAATTGTATACAGAGACGATTGTAGTATAATCAGGATGAACAAGGTATACCATGAAACAGAAGAGCGGCGGTGACCCGCCCTCCTCGGGTCGGCAGGTTTTGCGCCTTTTTTAATGCACTAGTTCGTGTGCGCTCCTTACATGGTGGAGGTTTTGTTTCCTTGGCGGGGTTGGGGGGCGGTAGCCCCCCTAGGTGGGGCGCAGGGGGCACAGCCCCCTGCAATGGAAAGACATAACCATGATTATTTTCACTGTGAGGTTATATTATTAGGTAACTTTATATTTACGTCTGCCGCTCCGACATTGTTGCCCCGCTATCGGGGCCAAGTTTGTCGCTAACGGGGGGTTTCCGTGCAATAAAACCTACATATTTGCATTGTATAGAGTGAGAGGAATCCAATGATACCAAAATCGTCGACATCGGTTATGCGGACGTAATATAGAAAATTACCATGTTGTAACCTGGTTTGGAAAATGTTGTTTTTCACGGACACGCCATACTGAGCAAACACAATGAGCAAAAGACATTATTGGTGCGAGCAAAGGACATTTAAGGTGTGAGCAACATTATTAGTATTTCACCTTTAATGACAATGATAATAATTAAAAGCATTTTAATTAGGGGAGCGCTTGGGCAAGAATTCTTGCAGAGAGGCCAAGAACTGTACTGTTCCCTGCTTAGAACGCTTTCCAAGGCAAGCAAGCCTTGTTCAGTGATGCCAGACATATGGAAGTATCTTTATATAAAGTACAAATCATAACAGTCATTATAGGACATAGAAATGTCAAAATACTACACAACATATACATACTTGGGTTTTAAAAGTAATAGACAATTATTCCCACCAACAATCTCGGAGAGAGATAACTTGTGCATAAGTTGAGGGTGGAGTTTATTTCATTGATGGTTGGTAACAGTTTGAGCACATATTTCAAAAATGATAAGCTAGCACTGCATCAAGATAGCAGAGAAGTAAATAGATACCCTAACATCTTAACAAAGCTCAATATTTTCTCCTATGTTCATATAAAGTCCCTCTAAAACAGTGACACACTTCTAATGGGCAACCCTTACACTCTGATGTGCTATCAAAATAAATGAACATCACTGACTTCAAATATAGGCCTACCCAGTCCCATATATACAATTTAATGAAGTTAAATATAACAGTCACCAAATACAGTATCAACAGAAGAATATTGCTAGAATTTCTTGGACTTTTTCACTTTAAACATTCTCTGTTTTATAGAATAGTAGATAAATTCTACATTTGAAGGATTATGGCCAGTATGGTATGCGAATGACGCTGTTGCCATGGTGACGGTTCACTGCTCGACTTAGCAAGCGCAAGTCTAGCCATCTACAAAGGTCACTTGAGAAAGCAAGCAAAATTCTTGAGTTTGCAAGACAAAGTCTTGAGATTTTAGGCAAGAACTTTCCCTGCTTAAAACACTTTAAGTCCATGTTTGTGTTTAAGATGGATATTCTTTGTCTTGTTTTGTTTGTTAGTTATTTTGGAATTCAAATAAAGAAAAGTGAGTATGAGCAAAACTGATCATACCTGTAACTCAAGATTGGTGTCACTGCGAGCATTTGCATGTTTTCCAACCTGGGCTGTAACATCCAAGATAACTGTGCACCACTGTGTCTATGGCTTTTATTTATTAATTTGATTTCAGCTTATTCATCAGATATGTCTTGCACACTGATGAATTACAATACTTTTATCAAGATTGTTAGATATAACTGTTGAAGATAGGTGTCAGTTCAGGAATGCCAGACAGGTAATTTTTGGGATAAAAAGTTCAAACTCCAAGGCTAAAGAATTTTTTAGACAAGACATGATGTTGGATAATATGTTGTTTTTCGCAGACACATCACAGCGATTAGCGACAATGTATGGGCTGCAAGCAAAGGGTATTCATGGTGTGAGCAACCTGCTGTAGCTGTTCTGAAGTAACTTGTTAATTAAGTGATTGTTATTCAAGTTTGTTTATGAATATGGATGGACTTTGTTTGTTTTGTTGTGTTAGTTATGATGGCATTCAGATATCTGTGAGAAAGAAAATTGGGTGTGAGCAAAAAGTATTATAGCTGAAATGTAGAATTATTGAAGATCAGGGTCACTGCGAGCATTTGCGTTTTCCAACCTGGGACAAACAGCTGTTGCTGCCACCATGCTCTCACCTTTGAGGTCCATATCGATGAGTGATTATCCTAGCTGTTGTAGTGGTTCTTATGAGGCATTGTTGTGAGACACTGTTTCAGTGGGACTTATTTTGTAGCTGAATTGCCATAAGTTAGTTTAATATATTTTAAAGAACTTTGTAAATGATATTTAAGCCAAAGCTTATGGTATATATTAGGCAAAAGCTGTAAATTGGGAGTGAAAATATCATGAAATATAAAACAACAGCATTCAGACCCTTAAGCATGCCTTTGTCTGGATAGCAAAGGTAACAAAAAGATAGCAAGAACAAAAACAAAATAGCATTGTGTAGTTTTCTTTGTATTTTATTTTTATCTTTAAATGCTGTGCATGTAATTTTTCTAAAGACAAAAAACAAATATTATTTACATGCCAAAGACAATATCTTGCCTGCACTAGTCAGTATTTCTAGTTTTTTTCTTCTGAATTTACTAACAACCTTTTGAACCAATGAAAAGTATTGATATGCATCTGTAACATAGAGGAGAGAGCTAATGTGATTTAATTCTTTTGAAAGATAATTGTAAAAAGTATTTGTGTAATGGCCTTATTTTATGAGCTGTATTTTCAAAGAATGGTAAAAAATATATGCATGTTTAATGAAGTTACATTTTGAAAAACTAATTGATTCCTCATTCTTTCAGCTAAACCCAAGATGCATCGGGTCTGCTATTATGCTATTCCCAATAAAGGGAGTGGTGATATTACAGTGAAAGCCTTATCTGTGGATGACATTGATCCCTTTATTTGTACTCATATTCTTGTGGCCTTTGCTAGAATCAGAAACAATGTAATTGTTCCATCCAATGATGGTGATATTGAGGTAAACACAGATATTTGTTGTTAAAATGATATTTGTTTTGATAATTTCCTAAGAATGTGGTATGGCAATCTATTTTATATTGATGATTGATGATACACCTCCTGTTAGTATAGATAATTCCTTGGTCTTGATCTGTCAGTTTTCTCAAATACATATGCAAACTGACTTTTTCTATCTATGGCATACTGAACAAAAGCTCTCCTTCAGGTGTACAAGGAAGTAATTGCCTTGAAGAAGCAGAATCCTGAGCTAAAGGTTCTTTTGTCCGTGGGTGGTGGCTCAACAGACGGAGGATTCCCAAACCTTGTTCGTGATCCTCAAGCGGTTATTGAGTAAGTAATACTAGCCTTGTTACTGTTTTTCTCTCTTTAATTTGATATTAGCATTGTATCAATTTTTACTGGCTAGATTCTTGTGTGTGTGTGTTTATGAGTATTTGTATGTGCATATGAGAAATTGCTTTAAGTTTGTTAACAGAAAATAATTAGATACTTATATTGTTGTTAGGGATTCTAAATCAGAAGTTATGATTGTTCAATTTTTAATGATAGTTATGAAAGTAGTGACATAAATCTTCAAGAAGATAAGGGCTCAAATAAAAAGTCTGATTTTGCATATCAGTTAATACAAATTCTTTCTTGTTTCAGTGAGAACACAGCAAAGTGAGGAGAATGGGAATTTAATTCTTAAATGTGGTTCTTTCACATATACAGGTTTGCCTCACATTCTCGAAAATTCCTCACAACCTTTGGCTTTGATGGCTTAGACCTTGACTGGGAGTTTCCTGCATGGCCTGTATTTGTGAGAAACAGGCAGGAGAAGATATGGTTCACAAGACTTGTTCAGCATCTTTACCAGGAATTTAAGGTATACATGGGTTTTAGTATGCTCAGGAAAAAATTGGTTAATTCAGATAGATATATTTTTTGTGGAATTGTTATTTGATAAAACACTCTTTAACCCTCTAACTCTGCCATGTCTATGGATGTGTGGTCAACAAACATTGGATTTTGCACATCATATCTTTTCACTTTTAGCAAACCCCCATCTTAAGTTTGATGTGCTTGTTGAGCTCTATTCATGAAGTATCAAAGAATACACTGCTGTTCCCTTTATCTGTAGAGCAAATGTTCCCAGATGTGCCTTAGCTAAATGCAGAGGATAGTATTTACAAAGCTTGGTGTCACGAGGCTAATTTAGTTATTCAGCTAGTTAAACTTAGGTCCATCTTTACGTCCTTAATAGTTCTATATATTAGATGTGAATTTCAGGCTCTAATGTTTGATTGTTTTTTCCTCATCTTACAGTCAGCAGTACACAAACCCCTCTTGCTCACAATTGCTGTAGCAGCTCCAAAGTCAATCATAGACAGGTCATATGAAATCCCTGAGTTATCCAGGCAAGTACACATATTTTTTCCTTTTTCATCAAACATTGTTCCCTGTTTTGTAAATTAATTTGATGGCTTTGGTGACTTTTGAAATGTCACTGTGAATATGAAGCCACAAAATATTTCAAAGGACTTAAGCATATGGGATTGATATGCTAAGTTTCAAGTAAAAAAAAAAAAATGCTTTTATTCTAGATAAGGAAGAATTATTATTTTATTATTGTTGTCTTTCATGTTAGATATTCATAGCCTCGCAGAATTTATATGGAATGTTTTGATATTTCTTCTATACTTTCCAGATATGTTGATTTTGTGTCAATGATGGGTTATGATTACCACATCTTCTGGCCTTATCTGCCATTTACGGGCTATAATGCCCCACTCTTTAAAGGTAGAAGTGACAAATTTTACTTTGCAACTATGAATATCCAGTGGTCTGCAGAGTATTGGGTGAAGAAAGGGATGCCAAAGGAAAAACTGGTTATTGGAATTCCTACTTATGGTCGCACATGGAAGTAAGGGACCTGTTTTCATATGTGACATGGTTCTTTGAGTGGAATATAGATGATAGTATCTTTTGTTGAAATGATAGTAGATTGTTTTATAACCAGAAACACTGCCTATTGTTACAGTAATTTTTAAAGATGTGTATTTTTCAGAGATGATCCATGAAGTGAAGATCTGAAAGCCTTTACTGATCTTTTATTTACAGTGCTCCTCATAACACATATTATTTGTAGTCTACATTTATATCCATTCTACTCATAGATTGCTGAATGCAGCATGGAACAAAACCGGATCACCAGCAGTTGGAAGGGGCATGCTTTCTGGCGTTGTGTCGTACCCTGAAGCTTGCATATTCTATAAGGAAGGAGCAGAAAGACATTTTGATGAAGTATGCAAGGTCCCTTATGCAGCGAGGGAAAGGGACTGGGTTTCTTATGAAGATCCTCAGAGTGTCCAGGAAAAGGTAGGAATATGGACAGTTGATAATGTTTTGATGTGAATTTGATACTGGTATGTTAGTGTTTAGTTATTTTAATTATGATTATCTTTGTTATTATTATAAAAAAAAATTTAGAATTGTTATTATTATAATAATTTTTTAGAATTGTTACTATTATAATAATTTTTAAGAATTGTTATTGCTATTATTATTATTATTATTATTATTATTATTATTATTATTATTATTATTATTATTATTATTATTATTATTATTATCATTATTATCATTATCATTATCGTCGTTTACGCTGTTGTTATTTTTGTTATTATTTATTATCATTATTATTATTATTATTATTATTATTATTATTATTATTATTATTATTATATTATATATGAATGATAATGGTAATAATCATAATAATTATGATGATGATAATAATAACAATAATTATTATGATGATGATAATAATAACAATAATAATAATGATAATGATAATGATGATAATAATAATAATAATAATAATAATAACAATACTGATGATGATGATGATGATGATGATGATGATGATGATGATGATGATGATGATGATGATGATGATGATAAGGATAATAATAATGCTGTGTGATGCAGTGGTAGTGTTCTCATCTAGCAATCTCACTGACCTCTGTTTAGTTCCCACACCACCAGTGAATGGTAACCCCAGCCACTCCTTGCACACAATGGGGAATTTAGAAGCAAAATGAAATAGACTGCATCACACTGTAACAACTAAATAATAATAATTAATATTATCAATATCACCATTCTTCTTATTATTAGTAGTAATAGTAGTAGTGATATGAATACAAGCACAAACACAGTATTGTGTACACAAAAACGAAAATGAAAACCGCCACAATAAGAATTGAAAATCAGTGGACCATTTTGAACTCTTCACAAGTTCTTTTGAGAAATAATAAATCATTTTGGTTTATAATTTGCTTAAGGAGGAACTTGTGAAGAATTTGAAATATTACATTTATTTTCATTTCTTATTGTGGCTGTTGTCATTTTCATAGTTGTGATATATTTATGTGAAAGATATATAATGTATGTATCTGTGAGGTACAAGTTGGGAAGTTAATTTTTTTGATGGCACAAAACTTTTCAGAAAATCATATTGTTAGAAGGTGACCCCACCCCCCTATCTTACCCTTTGTTTGGAAATGGAAACAAGTAAGCTGAAATAAAACCATGAAAATTTTCCAAGCCAAGAAAAATACTGATTATCCGAGGGAAAGACCTAATTGTATCAGTAATGCCCTTTTCCCCTTTTTCATTTTATCTTTTCATTCTTTAGGTAAAGTGGGCAAAAGACAGCCATTTTGCTGGAGTAATGACGTGGAACCTGAACTGTGATGACTGGGCTGGCATTTGCTCGGGAAAGAGGTTTGAGCTTCATAGCGTGATCAAGAAAATTATATTTAATGATGAATTAAGGTTGAATGACTCGTGATAAGATTTGTACTTGCTTTAGTAAATAGAAATTGTATCTAAAGCAATTGATGACTATAATGAATGTGATATTGTCAGGGTTTGCACATATGATTGTGATGTTATAATTTTATTATGGTTCAAGTTCCAGTTTCTGTTAATGAGAATCAATGTCACAAAAAGCACAAATTTTGATATGATAATATTTAGGTATGTTTGTTGAAGTAGTTGTGAAATTTTTAAGTACAATTGTCACAATGATAGTAAAAGAAATTTATTTGTTGCACATTTGTTATTATTATTATTTTTTTATACAAACATATATATATATAGCCATTTCTTTTCCATATATTATTTGATGCCATTTATTGAAAAAAAAAAAAGATATACAAACATATAATATATATATATATATATATATATATATATATATATATATACAAACATATATATATATAGCCATTTCTTTTCCATATATTATTTGATGCCAAAGACTTACAAGCCATGCATTTGTTTGCATTTATTGTGGTTGAATTTATATTTTTGTAATACAGCATTTCAATGAATATTGATTAATGCATATAAAGTATTTAATTCCAACCAACTATCTAAGCATTTATTTAAAAGTATTTTTAACATATTATTACCTTAAAAATAGACCCACATATTTGCATATTAAATAAAATCTGTACAGTTTGTTCCTCTGAAGAAACTTTCATTCCCTGGCTCCATACACAAAAAGCCCATGATGTATATCACTGATGAAAATACTTCTCAAAGTCATTTTTGTGGGGATGTCTTTGCCTTCCCCATTACATTTATTTTAATCTGTTATGGGCAGAGGTGTTGTAGAGTACAAGGCAGGAGTTTGGCACAGTCTACAACTCTTAATAGTACTCCATGTGAACCAACAGATGCTAGGAGGGTATGTTCTTATATACTCAGACCACTATGATTTTATTTTATTTGTAATTCTATTTTTTCTATAAGTGAATCTAGAAGACCTTAGTCACCATGGAAACAAATGCTTCCTGACTAAGTTCTTGTAGAGCTATCTTTGTAAACAAAATTTATAAAAAGAAACAGTAGACAGTGCACATATCCATTGCCAATGTGTTAAACAGTTTTACCATTTGGAATGTTTTTGAAGATCAAGGGAAACATAAAGTAAGTAATAAAAACCCGTTGCATGTGTCCAGAAATCGGAAGACTGATTGACTACTTATGCATAGAGCCAGGGTGTCTATTTTGAGGGGGAGGGGGGAAGGTTCCAGCACTTTATAGCTAAAGGTTTGATACTTTTCATTCAGACCTTGTACTTGAGAACATTATAAACATTGTTTGGAAACATTAAAAAGACTTAAAGGTCTGTTAATAGTTAAAGCTTGCGAAAAAATCATAGTGATAACCATTTTCTCGCATCTAATAATGATGGATAGTCTTCCTCTGTTAGTGCAAATTTCCGACAGTTTGGGCAATTTGACTGTTGTTTTAGCCAATATCTTATGCATTTGTGGTGGAATCTGTGTCCACAGTCAAGGGTCTCTGAGACAAAATCATCATATGGTTCTAGACAAATTGAACAAGTAACATCAACATCAACATCAGAGCCTAGTAGATCAAGAACTTCTGCTCTTGGATCAGCACATGCTCCACTCTCAATTTCTGTGACTGGATCTTCAAAACTGTCAGAAGAACTGGTGGATTCCGTTCTGTTTTTTCGACCTGCCTCTTGAAGCCCACTTTGAATATTAATATTAATGTCACCATCATAACTGGAAAAAGAATATTAAGAATTAGTACACATTCCTGAGATCTGATATATACATTGTATCGGGGAAAGTATTCCATGCGTGCATTCTGAAAGTAATGTTAGAAGCATGTGACATGTCAGTGCATCTTCTATTTTCTGCCTTTATAATTCAAATATAGTTTATTTATATTTTCAAAAGTCAAGGGAATGTTGAAATAATATTTCAAGTTATAACACAGTTGTACTACTCAAAACTTGTGCTTTCCCTTCATGAAAAACAATTAAGAGTGAGTTTGTTACACTTCTTACTAAAATTACTGTCTAAATCAATATAAGCCTTGCACTACAAAAGACCTAGAAACAAAAAGATCCTATCAGCTACAAGCAAAAATAAGGATACCAAACATTTCTCTCCCTCCCTCATTCTTTTTTTTCCGTCTCTGGCTCCTTCTCTCCCTCCCTTTTCCTATTCCTCTTCCTCCTCCTCCTTCTTCCCCTTCTCCCCCTCCTCCCCATCCTTTCTCTACCTCCTCCTAACCCCCTTTCTCTGACTTTCCACTTCTTTATCTACCTCCCCCTAACCCCCTTTCTCTGACTTACCATTTCTTTATCTACCTCCTCTTAATCCCCTTTCTCTGATTTTCCACTTCTTTATCCAAGTCTCTCTCTCTTTCTCCCTAATCTTCCCTTTCCTTTTTCTGGCTTAGAGATTTATTTCTTACAAATATTTCTGACCTATGCATATCCTTACTTACCAAGGAACAACTGGCTTCAGCAGCGGGTCCTTCAAAGTTTTTCCACCAAATTTTTCTCCCTTTAAGAACTGCTCAAATTTCACATTATCTTTTCTAAGATCTTTTGGTATGAAGAATGGGTTGTTTGGGTCAATCTGTAAATGCCAAAAAAATGAACTATATAGGAGGTGAAAAATCAGAGAAAGAAAGAAAGAAAATCTTTTAGAAAGTTTTTTTAATCACAAAAAGAAGACATGATAAAATAAATTAAAGTATCAGACCAATGTATCTAACATACCGGTTGGACAGGTTGACATTCAGAGAGCAGTTCCCCCACATTATCCGAGGCATCATTTCTTGAGTCCTTCCTTTCTTGTAGAGCTCTTGCCCTCTTCAATTTCCTTAGTTCTGCATTGGACATCATTTTCTCTTCTTTCTCCTGCTTCAGTAATTTTAGACGTGCTACATATTCATTCCTAGGGAAGTATTGAGGCATTTTTGTAATATGTCACTATAACTTTTAAAAAGCTGTGCATATCAGGTTATTTTATTACATATATATATATATATATTTTTTTTTTATATATATATACATAAATAATCTTTAAATAAAAAATGCAATAGATGTCATTCAGACCCCACTCCTTAACTGCCCACTTACTATCAAAAGTTCATTAATATAAGCTGATCTGATAATGTCAAACAAATACAATATCTTTCCTCATGGTACTGGATCTCCAGGAAGGTGAACTATCCCAGCACATTAGTACAGTAACTCTTCACAAATGGAAAGTGAATGAGGAGGAAATGAACTTACTCAACATTTTCAGATGCATCTAGTGGATCTCCTAAAAGATCAGCTTGAGGTGTGGCTTTCTTTTTCTTCTTTTTCTTCTTTTTCTTTATGGATTTTGGCTTGTCTGTCTGTTCTTCTTCAGCAGATGGCTTGAGCACAGTAACGTTTGTCCATTCCAGACTTTCAGGATCAATTGGCAGAGCAGGAGCTTCAGGAACAGTTGACCTAAGCACATGATTGGCTTTTAATAGAAATTTCTCTATGATTTTTTAATTTTTAAGAATTTTCAAAATTGTTAATGTGTGCAGAGCAGAATAGCTTTTGTTAGAATTTCATCCTGATGTTTGCTGTTAATCTATAACTGACATGAATTGCTATAATAGTTTGCTAATTTTTCAAAATCTAAAATGAACTAGTATTTTTTTAGTACAATAGGCCTACCAATTTTATTTGCTATGAGAAAAAAGATATGTAAATATACTAACCATATTTATTACAGGTGATATAAAATTTTGATTAATTGATCCCTATTTAACTACTCCATCTGTATTTCCCTACATGAATACATTAAATATTATTATATAATTACAAAGCAGCAATTAGAGTGACTAAATAGTGTTCAATTACATTATGGGAACTTTTTCTAATTCATAGTAAGAGCAGACAGATATCCAGGAATTAGGTAAATCGAAAAATAAAATAATTGTAATTGAATAACATCCTCAGTCACATCTAAATAACTATGAGACATACTTACTCCATTTCTTGTGCAGTATCTGTGTCATTCAGTTGTAGTGTCTAGAAAAAAAAAAGAACTTACTGAATCTGTTTTGTCTCAAGCAGAGTAATTTGAGGTATTTCGTTACATTAAATAATTTGATAAAGGTATGAATAAGAGTGAATATCTCCACAGAGCAAGGGACGTCTTTAACCAGTTTCAATTATATCTTTTTCTACTGACAAGGATATAATCGAAACTGGTCGAATACATTTCTTGAACTGTAAAGATATTAATTCTCATTCTAAATTTTCAGCAATGAGCATATTTGATAGGAAATATTACATGTAGTAATCACATCAAATTATGTGGACAAATTAGCAAGTCAGAAGAGAAATAACTGAACAGTGAATAATGATTGTTCAAGTGCTCAAGAGAAGGGAACATTCTTAATAGCCAGACCAAATTACTGGTGATTCAGTTGCCCCCACCCAAAAAATAAGTTTCAAAGATACATTCTAACATTCAAGTTACCAAGACTCCAAAGTACCTGTTCTAATCCAGAAGCTTCTTTGCTGGCGCCTCCTTGCCTCTCTTTCTTCTTTTCACGTGTTTCTGGTTTGGTTACTGTTGGTTTCTCCTTCTTCTTTTCCCTGTTTAAGAGGAATGGTTCCCAGAACAGTTAATTTATAGCCATACTCTTCTTTAGGCTTAATTTTATTCCAAGAATGGGAAAAAGTTTAATATTTAATGAATTATGATTCATGAAAAAATAGGAATATTATCAGTAAGAGTACATACTGAAATAACAGGGCATTATATACTTCCTTTTTCTTCTTTTCCTTTACAGTACTGTCATTTCTTTTTTTATCTTTAACTAGTTCCAATTTGATTTCATTGTTACTGTCATAAATAGTTATGCTATGTATCAGGCCTGAACAATCTGGAGTTAGGCATTCTGTACCAAGGAAATCCTGGAAATATATATTTATACACCTTATTAATCTAAATAATAAATATATTGATAGCATTTGTAGAAAAGGTATGAATGAGATTGAATATCTTCACTATAAAAGAGATGTATTTGACCAGTTTCAAATACATCTTTGTTAGAAATACCTGTATTTCTGTTAAATAATTGTAAGAAGAAATACATGTATTTCTGATGAAGATATATTTGGAGCCAGTCAAATACATCTCTTATATTATGAACATATTCATTCTCATTCATACCTTCTCCAGATTTGTCAGCATGAATATAATTCATATGGGTAGCATACACTTAATCATTATGTCTTTATTACTTGGAAAATGTCAGATCCATACTCTGAAAAAATAGCAATATATTGGTAACTAGACCTCACCTTATCTTTTTTCTTGGCATTTTTATCTTGTTCCTTCAAGGATTTCCAGCACACATGATGGAAACTGATGATACAGTCCTCCTCACATGTCACATTTATGTAACCTTTGAACTCAAGGTCTCTGCAAGTAATGTAAACTGAATCAGGAACAGAAGTAAAAATTTGGAATAATATGTCTGAAAAGGGAAACTATTTCTTCAAGAAACAATGATAAAAATTATTCTGAAACTGAATAGTTATGAGATAAGTTTGTAGTGAGAGCATCAACTGTGCATGAAACACAATGGTGATAAGAACTACAACCACTTACTGTAAATAAATTTCCTGCTTGGCAAAATCATGACCTTGAACGGAACAGCAATTACTCAGATGGCACTTTGCCTTAGGTGCTGGAACTGATGATGTCACCCGCTCACGCACTTCCTTGGAGCCTTTCTGTTTGAAATAGATTCATTAGATATCAGATCATATACAATACCAGTAACAGAACTTGGAAGGACTTTAATTATAATGAGGAATGTAGTTATGATGTAATAAAAAAAGTATTGTACATACTGCCAAATATGCAGGGGTAGTTTCAGGAATGATCTCGGAAGTACCAGGCCACATATTTCCTTTATAGTCTCCATTTTCTTTTAGTTGGTTAAGACAAGACTCTGCATATGTCCCTGCCCTTTTAAACCTAAAAAGAATGAGAGAGAGGTGAGACTAAGGAGCAGTGTGTCTGTCTTTACAAGTTTTCTTCTTATTATTTAAGGGGGGGGGGGATTATATATATATATATATATGCAAAATTCATTAACAAATATTTTGACTTTCTATTTTTTTTTTTAACTGAATGTTATGAACATAAAAATAATTAATGAATATGATTAGAACAGCAATGAAAAAATAAAACAATTGCACGTAGATAAAAAGAACAAAAAGACCAAAGACCGTAAAAATGATAATAACACTGACAAACATTACTTACATACAAATTTTCTCGTGACTAACTGCAAGCCAATAGTTGGCAGCTGGTGCAAATTCCGGGTCACACGCCAAAACCTTCAGAATATCCATACCATCAGTAATGTAGCCTCGTCCAGATTGTATCTCACACAAGGCTGCTGCAAAGTGGATTTCCTGGAGAAATGATACAGTTTTGTAGTCTTCAAAAAATATAGCGATAACGTTTTAAATCTGAATATTACAGTGTTCGAAGAAATTAAAAACTATATATCTAGATGGACTTTTTAAATAAGAATTACTGTATATTAGGTACATTACAATCTAATCATATATTACTGTACCTTCAGGTCACCTTTTTGTTTTCTGAGATGTTCCTCCATACTCTTCTCAAAAGCCATGACAGCTTGACGATAGTGATGCTCCTCAAAGAATCTGAAAGAGAATTTTCATGCAGCTATGAGAAACAGATAATGAATATTAAAAGGATAAATCTGATGAAAGATGTCAGATTTTTTTATTATCATTATTATCATCTGTATCAATTTAATAATTTTTGGTCTCTTAAGACTAGAGTGAATCACATGAAGGAAAACAAAAGAATAAAAATGCATTGATATTGGTCTCTCTGACTGTTACCAATGCTCTATTTCTTTTTTTTATCAGAGCAAAGATGTATTTGATAGATTGGTGATCTTTGATGACAGGTTGGAAAGTTGGCAATGACAATTAACTGATAACATAGTAATTAATGATGATAATTAATTTTCCAGACACATTGCACTCAGCCACTCATCACCAACCACTCAAGTACACCTTTGCCTCACCAAAAAATTAATCAGGAAGCTGAGGGTGTTGAATGCCCATATATATATAAAGTGTGTTATTGCATTATTCCATTTTGATGCCAGGAATTATGATTTTCTCTGACTTTTTCTTAGTTATTTTTAGTAACTGTAAAATCTGTGTGTTCCTTGTGTGGAAAATCAGTCAAATCCCAATGAAAATGTATAGGAAAAAATGAGAAAGAAATAATGAGAAATACAGTGATAATACAAAGATTTGTAATTCCAAAAATGTGATGATATGATTTTACCTTCTTCCATTCTCACAAGTTTCCAGGAAAATTTCTTGACTCGTAGGTTTTTTTTTCGTCTTTGATTTCTGCAAAACACTGAACTTGGTAAGAGTTTCCATTACTGTTGATATATGGTATCTAAATTGAAATCTATTTTTTGATTCTTTGCACATTTTTTTTTTTTTGTTCATTTTCAATTTCAAAACAAAATTTTGATAAAGCGTAATACCAAAACTTGTTTCTACTTGATAAAATGTCAATATTTCACATCTGAGTTATCCTTCAGCAGCAAAATCTTAAAGTCATATATTATTATATAACACTGACATAAAATATAACAATATAATACAATATAAAGTAATAATATAAGATTATTCAGTATATCAATATATGCTATAAAGCAGCTGGCAGTATAAC